CATTTAAATAATGTTCTGTTCTTTTGTTCTTCCTTCTAAAATGAACTTAACCTATCAATATCTGTCCTTAAATTGTTTGTAACCCTCTCACAACCTGTCTTTCCACCTATTTTTGTGTCATCTGCTAATCTGGGTACAGTGCATTCACTTCCTTCCTACAAGTCATTAATATGTAGGAATGAGGTTAAATTGACAGATGCACATTTGCTTGGCTTATCCTTACACCTTATTTTCACATGTATAACACTTAAAATTTTCTATTCCTCTAGCACCACTCATATGTAAGGAGGATCAGAAGATTATTGTCCTTATGACAATTTTGCCATTATTCAACAACATGGCTAAAGCTAGCAACTCAACACAACATAATTTAAATCTATGATGCTCAACAGCTTGATACAATATTCTGCTCCATCTTATTGCTGATTAAACCTCTGAAATTCACTTCCATTTCTAAGGTCTTGCTTGGATTTTAAGAATGGTACCTCTTCCTCCTGCTCCCATATTTTCTCGCCACTCTATCTGGCCCATTCATCAAATAAAAGAATACGAAAGTGAAACGTTTGCCAAATCCTTGCTAATGCAATACTCCAGCATGTTGCAATAATTGTTAGTTTAACACAGGTGAATTTACCCCGTCAATTTTTTCCTTCGACTTGAAATGTCCAATTTCTTGCAACAAAGAAAACACTTGGGAATTAACTTCCACTAGACAAGGCATAGGTGGGACACTTCAGTGTATTGATCCATTATGCCACTGCTAAGAGATCTCATGTAGATCAAAATATTTAAGGAAAAACAGAGGCAGTAAATATAAAGCAGTACAAGGAAAAAGGTCAAAATGGAAGCAAAACATCCTTTCTTTTGTTTATTTAAGTGACAAATACGCATGAAAGAGTGATTTGTTTAGAGAAGTGTCTGATCTCAGAGCTTGAGGGAAGTGAATCACACCACGAAGCTGAAGCTGAAACACTCCAGGGTAATGAGACTGAACTTCAACGGAGGCCATTTCAATCTCAACACTATTAGGTTCAGCAACTCAAAATCCAATCAGTAATCATTTAAATTTACTGAAAACAAAGTTGTAGAAAACGAGGGTGTTCATTTCACCCATACAAAATTGATTATAATGAGTAACCAGTAAGATTGGACAATTAGACATTTTGCACATCATGCTGAAGTTAACAGTGTACCATCTTAGCTGTCACTTGCTTTGAAATGCATTCTACTGGTGCTTAATAAAAGCTATGTACTGTGGATACTAGAGATGTGAAAAAAAAAAGTGGCAGAGAAACTCCATAGGTCTGGCAGCATCTGGAGAGAGAAATAAAGTTTTTCAAGTCCAATAAATCTCTTCTTCGAAACTCACCAGGACTTGAGAGTTGTTTCATGTTCCTTCCAGGATCAGAGAAGCTAATATGCAAAGATTCCTCGTGGGGTTTTGCAGAGTTTGCAGCCTGGAGGAAAAAAAAACTAGGAACAACCAGCATTACCAACACAACCATTTCTGAAATGGTATTTTATGTGGCTGTTATCTACTGTCCCTGATCATTCTTCCTGACAGCCTTTGGCATTGTCCTCCATCCTGTGATGTGCTAACGGACCTACAAGGTCCAGCTTAGTGGGCATGCATTCAAATGTTTCACATTTATACATCCAAATGAATCCAAAGTTTCTCTGCCAATAGTTTTTCTTCGTCATTTCTGCAGTGTTATTTCCAAGCTTTGTCCTTCAGCAGCAACATCTGAAGCTGTGGCACCAAGCTGTCACTTGTTACCTTTCTGAATTCCTCCTGTAGTATCTGTGCTTAAGGCTGTCTTCCAACTGTCTAGTCTTGGTGAGCTGCCAGAGGAAGTGGTGGAGGCTGGTAGAGTTACAACATTTAAAAAAGGTATCTGGATGGGTATAAGAGGAGGAAGGATTTAGTGGGAAATGGGCCAAATGCTGGCAAATGGGACTAGATTTATATAGGATATCTGATCGACATGGACAAATTGGACTAAAGGGTCTATTTCTGTGCTGTATATCTCTATCACTCTAAGAAACAAAAGTTGTGGCATATAATTTTAAGAATACGTGCATTTACAAATGTTAGACTTTTTTCTATTCTATTGCTAACATACCCATCTTACAACAGCCACTTCTGGAATGATACTGCACCCATCATTCACTCCTCTGTCAGCAAATTCATTTTGGAGTGGGGGAGGTGGAGTGAAACCTGCTGCTTTGATGTTTTTGAAGGTGTAATAAAATGCATTATTTTGCTGCCAATAAACTATTATTACAGAAATACATAAGAAAAATATTCTAACTTAATGATGAAAAAAATGGATGTAATGTTGCCCTGAGTACAGGACTTGCTCTTAAAGTAGATTACTTTCTGAAACTTCTTGCATGATGTATTTGATCTTGGCTAATTCTGTTTTTGTTCTACCCTATTCAAGTTATGCCCACAAAATTTTCATCGTGTGCACCAACACCATGGATAGTAATCTTTGAACTACATTATAAAGCCTTCAGCATAAGATTTCACTGTACAGTAATTAACAATTAAGCTACTTCTGCGTTATTTGCAGGTTTGAATAAACCATTGCACAGTGTTCATGTAAAGTAGCACAACTGCCACTATTAGGTACTGTTGTAACTAGCACAGTTCTTTTTTAAAAAAGTTGTAATGGAAATATGGATTTTTATTCACGTTCTTCATTGCTTTAACTTTGAATTATGAAATAAGCTTTTCATTCTTAGTAGCTTTCAAAGCACCACCAAAATATTTTCTGTTTTACTATCAGAACCCAAGATCACAGGACTGATTTTAAATGTAAATGGACTGTACCCGCTCACTTCCTGTTCTTGCCAATCTAAAGCCCAGACTTATTTTTATTCCTCTGGCAAGGAAATGTTTTTCAGTCAGCTTCCACATTAGCTGGTTGATGGTTAGCAATGTAGGCCCATGAGGTACACTGCAGCCACCAAAAAAAAAACCAAGATCAGCAGCTAGGCTGCTCAATGCCTGGTAGTAATATGGAAAACATGGTTGACCAATTTGTATCTCAACCTTGCAATTGTAGGTTATTTATACAAGCTCTAATATGCACAAATTAACAAGGTTCCTGTCTCATTCAGTTATATCTTTAGGCCACATTTGTGACAGGCCTGGGCAAAACTGCAACTAGAGGATGAGTGCACGGACTTAGCAGTACACGCAGTACTCAGATTTTCAAAACACGACTGCTCCATTCTAGTTGGCCAAGATAAAATCCATCTTCATTTTTGCCTTAACTGTTTTTTATTTCAAAAACAACATCTGCCTCAAACCTTCTGGTTAAGAGTTTCACTCCGACCAAAATATTCTCTATGCATAGTATACATTAAACCCACATTAGAAGAGTTTCAATGATGGAACTCATCTGCCCAAAGAAAAAAAGTGATTGAATGCTCAGCTTACTAGCTACAATCAAATAGCTCCCTGTCTATTTTTCCAAAATCCATATAGGAAAAAACAGCAATGTTCCTCATTTATCCAAATATTTATAATGATATTCCCAATAGAAATCAGTAAAGCCAGCAAGTAACTATAAAATTACAGCTCTGCGAAAGTCTAACTAAAAGGTGACAGCTATTGAAAGAGGCAATTTTCTACCATTAGACCACAGCAAGAGACTAAATAGTGTCTTTCTCTTTCAAGGAGGCATTATGAAAGATACCAAACTTATCATGTATGGTGCTTTCAAGTAATCAACAATCAAGTTCAGTCTTCAGCCACCAGTTCCTGTGGTGCAGTAACCTACACGTATGCAAGTTATACTCCCCGGAATGAGTTCATACTTCACACATACACTGACTGTACATTATGAAAGAAAAGGAGAGAGAGAGAGAAAATAGAGAGTGAGCACACTCTTGAGTCCTAGGCTGCAAACCTAGAAAAACCTCCCACCAAAACTACCCAGCTAACCTCAATTGTGTTGGTATTCTGAAAGAGCTAGGTGGGGAAGTGATGGCCGAGTCGCATTATCACTGGACTATGAATTCAGAGACCCAGGTAATGTTCTGGGAATCTGGGTTCAAATCCTGTCATAGCATGGTGGAATTTGAATTCAATGAAAATAATCTGAAATGAACAGTCTAATTATGACCATGAATCCATCGTCAATTGTTGGAAAAACCCATCTGGCTCACAAATTTCCTTTAGGGAAAGAAACAGCCATCCTCGTCTGGTCTGGCCTACAGGTGATTTGAGACCCACAGCAATGTGGTTGACTCTTAACGGCCTTCTGGGCAATAAATGCTGACCTGGCCAGTAATGCCCTCATCCCACAATTAGAACATTCTTTAGAATGAAGGGTCACTCTGCTTTCTTTTCACAGACACTTGCAGACTGCAGGGTTTTCCAGAATTTCTGTTTCTGTTTTAAATTGAATGTCCTCTGGTTATTCACTACCAGGTAGAAATAGGTTTTGTGGGTAAATCATGTTCAGCCAACTTGATTTGACTGTTAGGTGAGCTAACAGACATGAAGGCAATACAGTTGTTATGATCTAAAAACAACCAAAGGGATTGTCAGAAAATATGTAGTTCACAGAGTAAAATGGACAATGGTAACATGGAAACAAAGTTAACAGTTTGACAGTAAACAGAGTAAATGGTCATTTCCCAATTTGGAGGAAGACATATAGTGGGGTTCCTGAAGTTCCAGGGCAAAGATCTGCCTTTCTTAACAAAGATTAATCCCTTAGATTTGGGTGCCCAGGATGCATTTTCGAAATGTAGAGGTGAAAAAATCTTAGTCATTGTAAACTGTAAGGAGTATAGTGGGAGGCTTTGAGAGAGAACAGTCTTGCTTGTGAAATGGACAAACAAATTTAATGCAAGTATTTTGGTACAAGTATGAGAGGCAATACAATTTTCTTTGGAGTCCAAGAGCAGAGACACCCAGGGTACATGTGCATAAATTATTGAAGATAGCAGAGTTAATTGAGAAATTGATTAAAACCACGTACGGAAAGCTGGGGTTTACAAATGGAGCCTTGCAGACAGATTTTGCTATCCCATTTCAGGGTCTGGAAATAATAGAAAGAAATCGGCTGTGAGATTAAGGCAGAAAACCTCCTCCCATTTCCATCACATCACAATCTTTATTTCAGTTCTAGTGAAAGGAACACCAGTTTATTTAGTCCTGCCTCAAACCAAATCCTCGAATCTTTAGTGTAAGTTAGTAAATCATGTCAACATCCTCTCAATGGGTATTAACACAAGAACATTGAGTTATGGAAGACCTAAAGTCAAATGTAACTTTAAACAGCTTTGTCATAAAATTACTAAAAAAATTAACTAAAGATTATAAAATGGTAGTTTCAAGACCTTGACACATGGTACAAACAAACAAACAAACAAACAAACAAACAAACAATCTCAATTGATTGAGCAGTTCCCCTCAATTAAATTAAAACACACCAGCTTTAGCCCGAATTACAACTAGCTTTGAGTATAATTCAATGAATATAGCCAACGGGTATAACACAGGCAGCATTTTCAAATTTGCTAAAATATTTCCTTCCAAGTTGAACGGAAACCTCAAAATTTGTTCTCCTGCCCCCGAACTTCAGCTTTTCCACAATGACAAACATAGAAAAAAAAAAGAAAATAAGAAGCACATTGTCCTAGCCTGAAATTTCTGCAAGCATTTACTGTAAATTTAATTGCAGTAATCTAGTTACTAGACTACTGGCCTGGTTTATAGAACAGCTGGAAAACAAAGAGATTATTCATTGATTTTGAAATGAATTACACAGGTTTAAAACTGAACCACAAAATTAGGGAGAAAGAAAACTAAAAAAAAACCACGATTTTGTTTGGACATAAAACCATTGTAATATTAATCCTGCGATAAAAAATTAATATAAAGCTCTGTGTGTCACTACAAGGACTTACAGGTCAGGTTTTCACAATTCTGTAATAATTTGCAGCTACAGACGTTACTAATGGCAATTGTACTTAACGTCAAGAAAGTCATTATATATAGGCAGAGATAACTCATCTGGTAGCAAGTTTCATTAAAATTAATGATCTTACCTGGCTTATGTACTGCAGATTATCTGCTCCTCACCTTTTGTATGCCCTCAAAACGAGATTAAAATGTGATTTCTACTTTGGAATAGAGTGAATAAATGGAACAAAAAAATTTGGCATTCAAGAGGTCAGAAATAAGGGAATCAGAGTTTAAGAACTATAAAATGGTGTTATAGTTTCAACTAGAAATCTGGTTTACGACTGTTTAGCAGCCAGGTTTTAAAATCATAGCTTTAAAGTGAACTTCAATATTTCACTGTACATTTCAGAAAATATTTCAAAATATTTTAGAGAAGTGCATAATGCATTTTAAACCACATTTTTGAAACTTTAAGAATCAATATAGAATCATAGAACCCCTACAGCGTGAATGAAAGCTATTCAGCCTACAGAGTCCACACTGACCCTCCGAAGAGCATCCCATCCAGACCCCACTCCTCTACCCTCTCCCTGTAACCCTGCGTCATCTAGCCTGCACATCTTGGGATTGTGGAAAGAAACCAGAGCACTAGGAGGAAACCCATGCAGATACAGGGAGAATGTGCAAACTCCAAACAGACAGGTACCTGAGACCAGGGCCCTGGCGCTGTGAGCCACTGTGCCATCCCTGGAGTAACAGAACAATAAAAGGTGCAGAGAAAGGAGGAAATGCTTGCTGTAATGCATGTCGCATAATAAAAGGTTTACCTTTCCTACAATATGTTAGGTTTTCTTATACATTATTTCATGTTACACCATAGTAGCCATTCAATGGTACACAGAAGCCAACTAAACCAGCAGTCAACAAGCACTTCAAAAGATCTCCTCTAACTCTTTAAACTTGTTGAATAGCATCTCAGGGCACATTGGCCAAAGTTCTGCTCAAAAAAATTATTCATTAAGCTTACATCTATGTGATTCTGTGTAAATAAGGATTGAAATCAACATGCCCTTCATCACAAGAGTTAAGCAAGGATGGAGGGAGAAATATTGAGTGAGGTACCATAGAGATTGTTCCCATTACTATTTCTAATTTAGATGACTTAGATTCAGAGATTCACAGTACAGTATTGAGAAGTCAAGGAAACTGCAGACTAGAGAGCTCTAGTTGGCTTAGGGACAACAGCTAACAGAGCCAACCAAAGCCAAGCATCGTTCAGCAAGCCAACAGCTGAAATATAGAGCCAAGATAGTATAAGACATGTCAGAGAAAGTCATGATCTAACTCCACAGTATTCAAACATGGATGTCAAATTTTTAAACAAAATACTTGTTTTTAAATGGAAGTACAATAAAATCTTAATACGATTTTCTAAATTTAGGAAAGTAATGTCAAATACATAACACAGCATTGCAATTCTTGTACTGTTTGGCACTTGAATAGGTCTTCCATCAACTACATTTGCTAACCTCATGCTGAAATAAAAAAACAAGCAAAGGGAGAGTGTAAGCTGTGTGTTTCAGCATTTCATGCACTATCTTATTGAAACCTAATTCAAATTCAAGGCACGAGCTTACTAGTAAATGAAACATTTAGACATTCCAAGCACTCAATTATCCAAATATCTCACAAGAGCCACCCATATTGCCCACTTTGAATATAATGTGCAGATATAACATAACTGTTACATGAACCTTTAATTGCACCAAGCAATCGATTCCAATTTCAGCAAGGCAAAGTTGTTACAATATAGCTTGTCACTTCATAAATATGTTGCTTGCTAATTTTAAGCAATGTTTTGGAATTGTTCAAAGAGGGGTCAGACACTGAAGTATTTTGAGTGGAGATTAAATTCCAAGGAAGATAGACATTTTGAAGTTCAGAGCCAAAAGCTTATTTAATTTCTTGCAGCAGTATTTTCACATTAAACCATATTGTGCCACATGGTTCTAAAATCATCTTGCTCTTACTGGAAAACTAATGAAACTGAAGAAAAAACAAATGCCAAGTGTTCCTGACTTATGTATTTCTTCACCATGTCTGGGAAAACTTCCAAGTTTCATGAACTTCCAAGCTCAATAGTATTTGGCTCCAAGTACTTTTCATGGTAATCATGTATCCGAGTTTAAGGATATCTTGAAGAAACATCTCTACACATATTTCATAAATGATGCATCACCTGTATTAAACCCACTAAGCATGATATCGTGTTAAGCTTATGTCAAATTAGGATAACCCTAATGAAACAAGAAGACACATATGAAAAAGCTTTTTCTTGGTCCTTTTCCATGCCTATTTTCCCTTGCCCTGCTCAATTCCATTATAAAGATTCTTTGTGGCAACCTTAATCAAATAAGGTTGAATGCAATCATTACAAAAAAGTCTTTAGCAGCTGCACACAGGTAGTTCCCAGGATGTGAATATGTTCCACTTGAGTGTGTTTGCAAGACAATTAGCACGCAAATCTGAACATAATGCAGGACAATATAGAGTCACCATTTGTTCAAGTACAGGAAATGTTCATAGTCGGACCTTTAAAATTACACCCACATGGGATTGTGTTCCTAACAAGTTTTCATAAGTGTAAGTCAGGGACCCCCTGTAACAGCTTAGCTTTTACGTTGTTTTCTGTCAAACAGTCAACCTGGAGAGGTACATTGACAAGACAATCCAGCATGACTTCTTTTGCTCTCAAAGGTGCACGTTTCATATTTACAGTGTGGCTACTGCTTGTAGCTGCTCATCTCAGTGTACCTACAGCATGATCATGTTAAGTCACAGCTGTCTGTCTCACACTATCTTCTCACATCTGCACTAGCTCGTCTAAAACCAGTCAAATTACACCATCTCACTACTGCAAAAGCATGAGAAAGTGAGGGAACGCTTTTTCACTCAGCAACTAGCTAGGGTATGGAATGTACTGCCTAGAACTGCAGTGAAGGCACGTTTAATTCAAGTAGGCATTGAGTAATTATTTGGATAAAAATCATGAGCAAAGGTGAAGGGGTGGAGGAGGGGGGAATAAAACAGGAGATTAGCACCAAGGTATGATGCTCACTCATTTAATGAGCCAGTACTGGCATTATGGGCTGAATCCTTTTGCACTGTAACACTTCTGTGATAAACCCAGGCCAACCTCTTTCTGCTGCTCTCCACTTTGCCCTTTAGAAAAGATCTCTGTAGCTTTCAGTTCTGATTTAATGGATGAAATACTAACTATTTTCTTTTCTGGAGTTCATTCTTCCAAGTTTTTTCCTCTTGTAATTTCCAATACTTATCATTTGTCATATGGTTTGTGTGCAGAACTTCAAGTGCATACATTTGCATCTTTACTTGTATCATTACAGGTTTGAGCCACACAGGGGAGTGGACATAACACATCATCCACTTCAATCTTCAGTCCAGTTTTTTCTAAAGTAATCCTTTTGACTATAATTATTTTTGCCTTTTTGGTGATAATATTCAACCCATATTCTGCACTTCTTCATAGATTTACTTGATCTAGGAATTGGAGATGCTTGTGCATGAATCACAAAAAGCTAGCATTCAAGTTTCAGCAGGTAACAGGCACACAAAGTGAACTGTTGACCTTTATGCTTCATTCCTTTTGAAATAAAAATGAGGTACAACCACAAGCGATGCTAGTCAGACCACAGTTGAAATTCTGTGAACAGTTTTGGTCTTCTTATCTAAGCAAAGATAGACTGGCATTGGAGGCAGTCCAAACAAGATTCACCTGTTTTGATTGTGCACGGAGGGATTTTCCAATGAGGCAGAGTAGGATGCATTTGTACTCATTGGAGTTGAGAGAAGTGAGAGGACACTTTGTTGAAACTATATAATTCTTAGAGGGTTTGACAAAACATATATAATTCTTAGAGGTTTGACAGGATAGACGTGATGAGGTTGTTTCCCCTTGTGAAAAGGTCTAGGACCAGAGGACATAATCTCACAGTAAGGGGTCATCCATTTAAGGCAGAGATGAGAGGGGATTTTTTTTCTCTCAAAGGGCAGTTAATCCGTGGAATTCTTTTTCGCAGTAAGGGAATCAAGAGTTATGGGGAAAAAGGC